CTCAAATATCTATCGTTCACAATCTCAATGACAAAACGTAAATAGATTGTAGAATGAAACCAAAAGATACTTTTTATTTCTTCGATTCCAACCTTCCCAATCAACGCATGTACAAGAGAGTTTTTTTTTGCTCTTCGACTCTTTATATGAATGAACGAATCAAATGTATTCATCCATTCTTAGACAAGACAAAGGTGTGAATCACAATGACTTAATTGAAAGTGAATTAACCAATATAATTGCCGTTATTACGTAGAAACACCAATTATATTTCTTAATTCATTTTGAATTAAGTCAGTGTGCTTGACCCTTAACATAATTATCGCGACGAATGGAGAGAAAGTGATACATATAAACAATGAATATCGACGAAACGCAGTTATATATATATTTAACTGTGTGGAGAATGATGAAGAAGAACTAAACATGAATCAGTCAATTGTTAACATTGTTGATTTACCTGACGAAATTTTGTTTCATATTTTGAAGAAACTCAATAATTTCGATGTTCTAAACTCATTGATAGGTATTAATGAAAAACTCGATCGAGTGGCATGTGATGTTAGTTTTACTCGACTTGTCGATCTAATGACAATCGAATCAAATCAAGTGACTGATTCAAGAAGTAGCGCAATATTTGATCGATTTTGTATGGAAATATTACCTAGAATTCATGATAAAGTGGAATCTCTTACTCTTCAAGCATGTTTCTTACCACGTGTTCTTCGTGTTGCCAATTATCTTCACTTACACAAGCTTGTTATTATTAATCTGAAACTCAGTATGGCTTGTCACATTTTCAATGGTATGCTCATCTATTAATGTCGAAGAACTAAAACAATTCTTTGCATTTATTTTCTATTTTTAGAGAAGTCTCCATTTATTCATGTTTTAAAACAACAAATCTCAGATCTAGTCGTAACGATTAGTGACGCATTTCCCGATGCATCAAGTGGGGAATTAATAACTGATATTTATAACCGTATTTTTGGGTTAGTTAGAAATCTCAAATATTTGGATATAGATGGTGATGACACTTATGATTTCTCTCGATCGTTGTTAACTAGTTTACCATCTACAACATGTTGTTCGTCCAGTATTGTTCATTTAAGAATCAAAATGCATAACATTGATGATTGTCTTTATTTACTTGATGGTCGTCTTAGTCAATTACATACATTGATTATCATTCTTAATTTTATCCATGATCCAGTACAAATCAGGCTACGTTCGCAAAAGATTATACGTCGTTCATTGAAAATCATGAATAATATGGTAAATAACTATACTCGATTGGAGAGGAATGCTTTTATTTCAGTTTCGACTAGAACTCTTCAATTAATCATCTCTCTAGAGACGGTTATTAAAAAAATAGCGATTTCAGACAAATGAAGACACAGAAATCTTGCAGTAATTTATTTTTGGAACGCTAATAATGGGTATTTCATAAGTTTCGGTCCCATTTTTAGTTTTTAATTCTTTTTGCTGTATTTAAAGGTAAACAGACATTAACTATATATTTGTGACGATCAACATCTAAGATATCATTGAAGAGAAATTGTAATTAATTTCCATTAATCCTAATAAAGTGCTGCATCGATGAAAATATTGAAAAAAAAATTCATCAAATTTTTTTTTTGAATATTCTCTATCAAAATTGATAGAGTAGAATAAATGATCGCTTTTTTTAATTTCAATTTTCAATCATTTCGTAAGATAAAATTATGACAAGATATAGATTGATAAACTCTAATTTACAAAAGACAGCTTATTTTATAAATGCATATTTTGTTTTTAAATTTGACAAAAATTTTGTGTCAACAATTTTCGACATTGAGAAAAAGATGATTTTTTTCCTACACAATGTATTTCTTTTCTTATTTGATTAATTAATGAAGCATTGTTTTCAACTTTATTCTATTGCATATTGTTGCAATTTGAACATATATCGACTTGTCTAAATCCGGTCTTCGATTATCTCCTTTAATGTTACTCATTAAACAAAGCAATAAAAAAAGAAATACATTATGTAGGAAAAAATCATCTTTTTCTCAATGTCGAAAATTGATGACAGAAAAATTTTGTCAAATTTGAAAACAAAAGATGCATATATAAAATAAGCTCTCTTTTGTAAATTATAGAGTTTATCAATCTATATCTTGTCATAATTTTTATCTTACTAAATGATTGAAAATTGAAATGAAAAAGGCGATCATTTAATCTACTCTATCGATTTTGATAGAGAATATTTTTAAAAAAAATTTGATGAATTTTTTTTTCAATATTTTCATCGATGCAGCACTTTATTAGGATTAATGGAAATTAATAACAATTTCTCCTCAATGATATCTTAGATGTTGATCGTCACAAATATATAGTTAATGTCTGTTTACCTTTAAATACAGCAAAAATAATTAAAAACTAAAAATGGGACCGAAACTTATGAAATATCCATTATGACGTATCCACTAATGGATTCTTGAGTTATTGTGTCATGGTTTATTTCTTTCTGAAATGAGTTACATCACTGAAATAGATAATAATACGGATAACTATGAAAATAATTCAGTTTCTTCTTGAGCTATGTTAAAAGAAAAAGGAAATCTTTAATGTTCATTCATCAAAAATAACTATGAAAATATTTCCAAAGCAATCGTTTTCTATTTGATCTATTGATTCAATATATCATTGAACAAATCACAATATCTTGCTTCTGTTTTTTTTTTGATAGATTAATCCACTTCGACTCAAATGTTTTCCCATGCATGTATGTCATAGAACAAATGAATTCGATAGTCTAATGTTACCTCTCCTTCGTCGAATGACATATCTGGAAAAACTCACCTTATCTCTCCGTGTTGGTGGGAAAAATTCCTTCATTGATGGTACTTATTTGAATAATTATATACTCAATCAAATGCCACATCTACATACATTTCACTTCGATATTGTTACTGAATATGTCAGAATGAATGAACAACAACCTAAGCCAACACCTGATGATATTCGACGTACATTCACGGAAAGAGGATATCATGTTGATTGTTATATCGACTATGGATTTTATAATTCACGTCGATGCCATGTTTATTCAATTCCATTCGATAATGAACGTATGTGTCATATAACGCACGGTTTTCCTGGTGGTATGTTCATCAATGTTCGTATTCTACGTATGAAGGACGATTTCTATTCATTCGAACATAAGTTTTTTGCTTAAGTCTCACGTTCATTTCCACTACTCAGTCGTTTGATGGTTTCCAATTTAAAGGAACAAAAAGAGAAACATTTAGAGAAATCTTCGATTATTGACTTTTCTCATCTTATCGAACTTGAGTGTCCCAATGTACATATCGATTATGTCGAGCAATTTCTATTCGATTCGAATACACGTTTATCTTGTCTGAACAAGATTTATATTTCATATGAACAATTAGCAAGTGTGACAGAGAATTTTACAAGACGTACAACGGATATAAACTGTGGAAAATTGAAGCATATTATTTTTGATCAAAATATGGCAATGGTGCATTCGAAAGACTATTATCTCTATTTTCCTTTATTGTTGTAAATAATGTTCTGATTAAATATAATCATTTGACTTTGACTATGTTCAGGTCGATCAGTTGACCTGATTAGAATCAATTAAGATTTTGAAGTCTCTTCAGATTCACAAATCAAATGTATATGTACAAGGAATTTCTTTTGGGGGAGAAGGTAAAATGCTGCAAATTTTTGATAGTGTAACATATTCGTATTTTTAAAAGGTCGGAAGGCAGCCAAATATTCAAAATATTATTTATATGCCTATGGAAATATTTGTCCAAATTCGATTGTTTGGCCATCAAAAGTTCATTTTCCAGGAAAATTCATGTTATATTCTGGATTAGTATCAAAAATTGGGTTGGATAACATGCATTTTAGTGAAAATAATTTTCTGTCAAAAACTTGTATGTAAGGTGGGGGAAAACATCAAAAAAAAATTCATACAAAAGACAGTTGAGCGAGACTAGCGGTAAAGTTATGACAGAACAATATTTTTAATGAAATACATCTTATTCAATCCAGTTTTTGATGCTGATTCCGAATATGACATGGATTTTTCTAGAAAATGACTCTTTAGATCGAACAGTCGAATTTGGATGCAGTTTTTTCATAGGCATGTATAGTATTTCGAATTTTTGACTATCTTCCAGACATTTTAAAAATAGAAATAATAATGTATAGATTTTTAGAGATAAAACTTTACTTTAATAAAATTTTCTATAGGAAATTTTTTGAAAACTCAAAATTCATCTTTTCCAACTAGGAATTTTTTGAAGCCTTTTAAACTATATAAACAAGAAGTGCAATTGCTTAGACAGAAAAATTACGTTAATTTGTTCAGTTTTATTTTCTCTTTCAAATGAGACTTAGCTCAAAAAAATCTATTGTAAAATAACCAAGAAAGAAGCAAAATATGCGCGGCTGAGTTTTGGGAAAATCGGGAAAAGTTTGTTTTTTAAAAACTTCATATCTCGACAAGACAGCATTTGTTTGATCTTAAGTTTTGGATGAATAGATTTCTCGACATGGACTATGGAATAAAGATAGTCAAACTTGAATTTGAAGTTTAATAATATTTAGTCTCTGTAGAAAAATTCTCGATTGTTTCATTGACTGTTTCTTAAATGGTATTTATCAATATTAATTTAATATTGTCGTCGTAGAACAATTTTTGTATAACTACAATTGAAGTTATATGCATTATACTGATGTATATCATCTAATAAACTATCATAAAATCTTTCAGCACGACAATATCGTTTTTTTTTCACCTAAACTTCTTTCTTGAATAAGTATAAACAACGTTATTTAGAGTTACAATTAACTTATACTTTATTCCATAAATAAATGGATGATTACGATTCGTTGGTTAAAACTTTTTTCTCGTTTGTCTTTCAGGATATTTGATATTAGAAAAAACAAATAAGACAAAAAATATTAATAGAAAAATCAATGATTAGACAAATGTTTTTATTTTTTTAAAATAAATTATGAATCAAAATTAATAACAAGTGTTGTTTGTGCATATCTATGACGACTATTACCAATCCAAAAATGAATAATACCTGATAATTGTTGTCGATTTGAATTTGGAATATTTATAATACGATATATAAATGAAATAGGTTTTTCTCGATTTTTTTTCAAATGTTATTTGAGAAAAAAATCTTTATTTTACTAATTCAGATAAATAAAACTAAACCCCCTCCTCCCATATTAGAAGCCCCCCTGGGCTTCTAAAGTATCCAGCATAAAAATTTTTTGGAGGGGACTTCTATTATGTCCTATGATTTTTCGAAGGTTTTAGGTACTAAATTTTTCAAAAGCCTTAAGAGGATTTTCAGGGTTTTTTTTACAGATTTTTGAGGGTTTTGAAGGAGTTTTTGATATTTTAATACGGTTAACTAAGAATTCAACGTATTTTTACCTTAAAATTTTGTAATTTTTTAAGTTTTGCTGTGAAAATACTAAAAAAAGTTTTCAAAAAACCCTCAACAAGTTTTTAAAATAAGGGGGCTTCTATTATGGGGGGGAGGGGGTTACTCTTTTCGATATAAAATTGATTTATTATCTAGTATAAGACATAAGTTTATTCTTTCGATTTATGTTTAGATATAGTTGGAATAAAAAATAAATGAATAGATTTTTTTTTAATTATAGAATTAAACAATTTAATATATTGATTGAATATAAATTGGGTGTAAGCAAATATTCATATAATTAACTCTCGTTAAGAGTCCTCAATTCAAAATTCGGAAGAAGAAAAAAAAAACTTGCATGATTTAAGTCGCTACTTCTTTTAACTACTTTTCATTTGTTTCTTAATATAATCGACAAAAAAAAACAGCCGGTGATAAAGAATATTCAGAAATCTTCTCATGAGTTTTAAAATAATTGTCTTATATTAAATATCTATGGAGAAAAAAACCTAACTTAAAATTGTCTAAATAAATAAAGATTCTTATTTAAATAAAATATTAATTGATTGATATTGAATATTTTACAATTAAATTATTTGAGAAGAAAATTTATACATTTTTATTTTTGTCTTCGATATAAAAAGAAAACGTGATGTCTCAACCTAATGATACATATGGTAAATTATTTTATTCTTAATTTTTATTATTCTTTTTGTTTTTTTTAATTGAAGAATGTTTATTGAAATTTTTAATAATTGGTTGTGCATCAACAGGAAAAACATGCATTTAACATCAATTTATTGAAAATAAATGTTCGATTAAAACAATGAACTTATTAAATCTTAATCAATTTCTATTATTTTAGTTAAAACAAATGTAACACATACAATTGGAGCTGAATTTGGTTCTAAAATAATAAATATCAATCAAAAAAATATTAAATTACAAATCTGAGATGTATGTTTATTTTCTAATAAAAGGATTTAATTTATTTAATTTTTTTTTCTATTGAAAATGACTGCTGGACAAGAAAGATTTCGATCAGTA